GTCTTCCTGCGAAGCAGAAGGAGTAGCCGGCGAGCGCCCGTTCACCGTTAAGCTTGTCCGGCTACTATAGAGATGTGCTCTGAAGCGAGAAGAGGTGTTTGAATGACACATGCGTCGTGGCGCAAGCTACTTATAGGGGGTGAATTCCCTGACGCTGACGTCAAGATCACCAGCCAATCAGGATTGGCGTAATGAGATTGATGCTTCTGTTTGCTCCGCGATGAGGCGCATCCCATAGTGAGACATCGAACGGAGTGTTATGAATGAGAACTGCTAGCTAGCAAACACATTTGTTTTTATCAAGTACATTGCAGATTCCATATGGTCACAGAAAACGAATTCTGTAGCTTAATAAGGTGTTTGGTTTACATACCGGATATACTTACTGAGCAACAGCAGTGAGTTGGATGGCTCCACACACTAAAGACATTGTTGGAGTTGCTCAATGCTGTATATTTCACTCTATGTAGGCTAGCTGTTTTGTTCCATAACATTACAATAGCCACAGTGTAGGTGGTAGAAAGCTGTAGGGGAGAGGTGAGAGGAAATCTCACCAAAACCAAGAGATGTGAAGAACTTACAGGTTAAAGTATGTGTGAGATAGTGCTCTCTGTAAGGTAGAGCATTGTCATTTTCTCAAGTTGAACAATATTGTAGAGTATCACTGATTTTTTGTTTTTAAACACCAAAAACTCCCTTACTTTATTGGCAGTGAACTCCAAAGCATGCCTTCACGTATTTTAGATTTGACTGAGTAATCAATGTTGTTGCTTTTTTGCCCTAACAGTATATGATTTTGTGCATCCTGTATTTCTGTAAACTTTATAATCTTATAACCAGTCTTGACCATTTGTGATTCTCTAATGTTCCCAAATAGATCAGGTGTTAACCCTAACAATTACTTTGTGTAAAAGAGACATTTCAATCCATTATAGCAGGATAAGCGCAAGTAAAACCAGTAACATAAGGGACTAGGCCATGCAATTTTTATTGCAAATAACCATGTTATCGTTACACCTGTGGACAATTTCCACTGAGAAAGCAGTGGTGTATAATATTTTACACAGCATAAATGTAATCTTTCATTTTTGCAAAGTGCTTTTAAGAGGGAGAGACCGAAGCATGGCTGACAAAAAACATGGGGAATATGTTGTGATTCACACACAATTGATATTTTTTTGCAAAAGACAATGTTTGTTGTTCTAAATACAAAATAGAAAGTCAGAAGTCAAGTACTTCATAGAATCGAGCACTCCACCCGTCAGATCTGACATCCCTTTGTAAAGGCCTTCTGCTTCAGAACAAGAAGCAAAGCCACATGCAACAGCTACACTGAGAGTCATGCGTTGTGGTGGGCCATCTCTCCACCCTTTGACCAAGCATCAAGGCTGTTACTCAGAACTATGGGCTTCAACAGGATGTGTAGTGAAGTGAGAGCTACATGAGACTTCAGCAGACTTTAGTTTTACACATGCTCATTTAAAGTAAAAACATTTATATCTCAAGATTATATCTAAAGATTTAGAGGCATCTATCTAATTTACAATCTAACTGTATTGATTCATCAAACATTCAATTAGACAGGCAGCAATTATATCACCATGTTAGATCACGGTTCAAATTCCTGCTTTGACTGAAAGACGGGGGTTGAACCAGGAAATGATGGGCACCTCCCCAGACTAACTGCAACTACAGATAAAAGGCAATAACTTGCAGTAAAGTTAAATTAAAAAGGATCTTTTTTTGATATTCCACTTGCCATTTGAAACAATCAAAAGTATATCAGCAGCCAGTGCAAGCCCAGCTTCCTGAAGTTTATAGAATGATAAAGGTAAGCGTCCCTTTGTATTCACACCTCAGTGTGAAGCCCAACCACAGCAACGCTGAAGTTTCCATGCGTCATCTGGTTGTCAGTGTGAATGCATTTATATCTGACTGTTTGTGTGAAAGCACAAGGCATGTTATGGCTTGTTGTCAATGTCAACAACTGTTGACCCTGAAGAAAGCCACGAACCACAACCTGCAGCTCTGACAAATGTTCTGTAAATGTTGGTCATATAGATAGATAAGTTATTTATATTTCTAATGATATTCTCTATACACCTTTTGAGTTGTCAAGAAACCCTAAATCTTTATTTTTTGTAAAAATGATGTGTGGGGAGTTTTACTGGACTGCATTATCTTGATAGGTGTTCCTTTAATAAGTATCAGTAGTGTAAGAGTGCACAGACACTATGGCGGTACAGGATTGTTTTATGTTAAGCGCCTTGTAAATAGTCGGTTTAATTTATCTGTTTTGTTTCCTTGGTGTACATTAGTTTTCTCTTCCCGGAGAACAAATATACAGGAGAGAAACTGTAAATCGTCTCAGGACAAATGTGTTCCTTTGATTCTCTGCTTCTTCCTCTAAAGCTCTCTGAAATGAAGTGTATTGTAGAGGACGGATGTTTTAACAGCCCAACTCTGTGCTGTGCTCTTCCTGCTGAAGTGACTGACAGGCAGAGGGGGTGTTCATCATTTATGACGTGGAGCATCCAATTGGCTGGTGTGCACAGTAATTAATATGGTTCTTCTGTCCTTATCAATGTGGCAAATGGCAGCTGATATTTTCTGTGTCTACACAAATCAAATAATTATATAAACGTTTAAATAAATGGCAACAACAATGTGGTAGGATAAGTCCTAGAGACACAGGCCTATACATTTTTGGATGCATTATAAATGATGCATTTATATTGAAATGTGAATGGTATTAGTACCTTTTTTATAATGAATAATCAGCTATTCTAAAAAAATATATGTTTTTGATAAATCATTTTACTATCACTAAAATATGGCAGTTAGCAAATGAGAATGAGGTTTTGATCACTTCCAAGAATCCCTTTCAGGAATCCAGACACATTTTAAACATTTTGCTACGTCCTTGGAATCTAATCTAATCCCAATTCTGAAAGTGTAAGAGTTAATCATTTGCTACAGAGCGCAGGATCACAGGAAGTTTCTGTTTCAATTCCTTTAGTGTGTTTGCTTACACATTTATTAAATAAGTAGCAGTTCTTAAACTGGTCTACTTTGGATACATTCATAATGGACTTTTCCGCATGGCTTCACTACATCCATCAAACATACTTGTTACAGGAGCAACCATTACAAACTGGAGGGATCAAGTTTAAAATACCTAGGCATATTACTGTATATCAGGAAACTCATTTAAAAAATGTTGCGTTATAGGAGATGTAGGAGTGTTTTTGAAGTTGCTTAAACTTTGAACATCCTTTTTAAAAATCCGTAACTCCCCCAAACAGTCTGGTACTATAATACAAAATAATAGAGCAACCTTTACCTGCAAATGTATCTTCCTTTATTAGCCAGCATACAAAACATTGCTTCCCCATTTCTGTGACCAGGAAATTGGCTTTAAGCGTGTTCATTTTAGCAATGAATCAGGTCAAAACCTAACTGCTGGTGCTGTAATGTGTAATGGGGATTGCCCACAGTATTGAGTGTATGTAAGTCGCTTTGGGTAAAGTGTGACATGTAATAATGTAATGTAATGAACTAGAAAACGCTGATCATATTTTAAAAAGCTTTCTTTTTTACAATTGGCGGAAGTATGCACATACAGTATTATTATAATTATGTTAATGTTGTTCTCTTCTTAAGTTAATCCTGGTAACACAATTGCTCGATGGTCAAAAGTAAACACTATGGTACTATAGGTAAAACACATTTAAGTGGCTTCAAAAGGTATTTGTTTGCTTAGCTCCTCAGACAGCCTAAGTTTTCCACTCATGTGTATATCATACTGGACAGTGACAATATTGCACCCCATCAAAAAAGTCCATCTGGACATGAAAAGAAAATCAAGATTAGGGATGCACGATATTGTTTTTTTGAAACCGATACCGATAACTTCCTGCTTCTCAAGACCGATACCGATAACCGATAATAAAAAATGTTTTACGCCACTAATTATTTTAACGCGATTAAGGCATGTGTATGTTTTTTCCTTGGCCGCCCCGTAGTTTCAGAACGCATCGAGTTTAAAATACCATCTACAAGCTGATGCTGACAGCCCCGCTCCTGCTGCCCGCTTGTGGCAGACCACACTTCCACGCTCACCGGCAGGCACCGACTGGCTATTGGGAGGACCGGGAGGGTGTGTGTATGTGTGGCCCGAGCGAGCGAGAGACCTTACGTGCATTGTTGTTGTTAGCATCTGGTGCTAGCTAGCTGCGCTAACGGATATAAGGAGCTGTTTAAATGAAAACAGAGGAGCGACATTTCGCCGACAACTGCGCCGAGCACTTGACTTTATGCAGGAAGCCAGACAGTGGGACATTGTACGAAAAGTCAGCACACTCAGCACGGATAGTGCGCAACATGATTGCAGCGTCCAGGCAGCTCCGGTTCGAGCATATGCCTTGAGTTGCACATAGTTCCAACGCCCATACCACCGACGACATGTTTGTTTACTGTCCTGGCATCACGGCCGCACACCATTTACGTCACAGCCAGGCATGAGTTAGGGAGCGCTGGATTTGTGAAGAACTCCCCTCTTCCTAAACCACTAATACCACAGTACTGGCAAAACGGGAGGAGCCGAGTGAAAAACAAGCGCCCCTCATCCCAATCCACCCACACCGCAGTATCTTTTCTTTTTTTTTACCCAAAAAATATATTGTATATTATCGGGGCTATTAATACTGGTATCGGGTTTATCGGGATGACGTCATAATTCCTAATATCGGACCCAATATTATCGTGCATCCCTAATCAAGATAGTTTTTCGATTGTTCTGTTTTGTGTGTTTACGCTCTGTGCAGTTAAAGGAAAACAAACATCAAACATAAAAACAGAAGCTTGCTTTTGCTCTTGTTTCATGTGTTTAGGTTGGAACAAAGGGTGATATTATTTCCACTGTGGTGGTACAATGAAATAAGGAGAAGCCAATCAGGTTGCTCTAATATTGTAACCTCCCACTTCATATGATTACATTAAGGCGAATCTACTCGAATACGATTTAATTTACCGGCAGCTACGAGTGGATTGACCAGAAAATGCTGATCATAGTTTATTTACTGCTGATGCTTGGAGTGGGGCGTAAGTATCTAGACTTGAGATATATTATATGAATTGTCATGTTCTGATAATGATTCTGCAGGGTGCTAATTATTCTTAATGTATCACAAATCAATCATCTGTGTGTTTATTATATTTGTCAGGATGCACACACGATCAGATCTTGGAGACAAACACTGTTGGTGTTGGGAAAGATGTGACTTTGACTTGTTCACGCCAGAAATCCTTGGATCCAACACACATGTTCTGGATCAGGCATGGTCCTGGAAACATCCCTGAAGTCTTGGGAGGAACATTTTCTTTTGATTATGATGGTGTTAACAATACTACTCGCATTGCAGCAAAACAAGGGTCTGGAACCTTTCTCCTGCAAATAAGAAAAACAGAGCCAAGCGATACTGGAGTTTACTACTGCCTAAAAGTAAACAAACTTGACATGACATTTTTTAATGCAACATTTCTGAGAGTTAAAGGTAAATCATTTATACTGTTTATCTTTGTTATTACTGTCTGCTACATAACACAATTGTATTTTACTACTTTCTTAATGTGTTATGTACTAAACCCCTTTTGTTTTATATGACAACTTACTATTTTTGTCTTTTATATTTACTGACCCTTTGCGGGGTAACATTGTAAATTACCTCAGAGGGAAATGCGTGAATGATTTCTGATTTCTGAAATGAAATACAGCAAACGTAGATTTCACCTTTATTTGAAAATGTATACTTTATCTATATATTTATCATTTCCAGGCCCTGAACCAGATATCACTGCCATTGTTCAAGGCCATCAGTCTGATCCGGTCCTTCCAGGAGACTCGGTGACTCTGCAGTGTACAGTCTTCTCTGAATCTCAGAGCAGAACGTGTCCAGGAGAAACCAGAGTGTACTGGTTCAGAGCCGGATCAGATGAATCTCATCCCAGTCTCATTTACAGCCATAAAAACAGCGGAGATGATTGTGAGAATAGTCCTGAGGCTAGCTCTCCACGGAAATGTATCTACAACTTCTCTAAAAACGTCAACTCCTCTGATGCTGGGACTTATTACTGTGCTGTGGCCACATGTGGGGAGATATTATTTGGACATGGAACAAAACTGGACATTGAAGGTAACTGCAGAGCGTTTACACATCTTTAGTAATCATTCATTTGTATCTGGTGGAAACCCTTATCAACCTAAATCCAATTTACATGCATTGTGATTTTTCACATTTGCTCCTTTTCTCCATGATTTTAGCACCTAAGTTGTGGGATCAGCAGGCCATCGTAGTTCTGCTTCTGTTAGCTGCTGCTTTTGCTATAAGTCTGATTGTGATCGCCTTCCTGATTCATAATATCGAGATGAAGACTTGTGAGTGTTGCAACGGTAAAGAAAGTTTCTCATACCTCAATCTATCAGACAGTCATTTGGCAAAGCTAACTTTTTTACATTATATCTACATTACAAATGTGTGTAATTGTACCTATATCATATGTCATCACATGTATTTTATTTCAAAATACAGCTTCTCTTTCTCTCCAAACAAATCCCGTACCAGCCAGCGGTGATCAGCAGAGGCAGCAGGTACAAAAAAGAGAAGATGTGACTGAAAAAAGTTGTTGACTCATTTTATTTTCTACATGTTAATCCCATCTCAAACATTTTTGCAGAGAGAGGAGGACTCAATAACTTATTCTGCACCAACTTTCACGAAGAGGAAAACTGGCAGAGCAGACAGGAAGAATACAAAATCAGCAGAGGGAGAGACGATCTACACCGATGTCAGGTCTTTAGTGATGGACTAACAATATACTGGACTTTCTGATTAAAGCTTACTGTTGGGGATATATCTTCCTAGGCCCTATACCTTTGACCCAGTCAGTTTGTACTGCCCTCACTGAGCATAGGCCTGCAACCTTGGGCTGCTGTGCTCTCAGTGTTTTGTCTCCCTATTCCTGCCTGTTGGCGTCAGCTGAAAGAGGTGTTTTAGTGCTTTGCCTGTTTTATCTTGTTATGCTCAATATTGATTATTCTCTCAGAACCAGCTAAATACATGGGTCTAGGGTAGAGATCTTCAGAATTGGTTTGGCAACCGCTGTGTCACCTCGTGGTGGCAACACGTCTTGTCAGTTCTCCGGCCGTAACTCCATAATAAACCATCAGTGTTTGCCATTAAAGTTCCAGCTCACCCAGTGTCTCTCTGAGTGTCGTCTCCATTGCTTCAGAAGTTTCCATCACACTTACAATGTTGTAAATATCTTGCTTCACTTTCAGAAATTGGAGAAATGTTATAACCTGGAAACAAAAAATATATATCATTTTGAAATGATGTCCAATCTACTTAAAATCATTGTATAACTTTTTTTTAATTATAAATAAAAGTACATTGGTTACATGACGCACATTGTTATAGCTTTAATGGTGATATTCTACACCTAAATATGTTTGTAACTGTTGGATTAGATTTTGGGCAAAGTCTGAGGCATAAATACGGTAAAGCTATTCACAAATCATTCTTAAAATACACAACATGTCCCTCATTTGACCATCAACATTAACCCATGCTGTTAGTTATGTATATATGAAACGAGTATTTCAGCAACAATTGGGGCAAGGGTCCCCCGGTTAGACCACACATTGATCCAGAGTGAAATATCTGGACAAATGTTTCCATAGGATGTATCCTAGTCAGTTTTTTTTAATACCCCACTTTTCATATAGTGCATCGGTACGTCGAAGATTTTTGTGTTGTGTGAAATCTCTACACTAGGGATTGCAGTGTAATTTGGTACATAATAAATGGTGACAAATGAAATACATGGCAGGGGCAGTGGCTCAGCTGCTAATATACTGAACATGAACTGCAACTTGGTCGGTGTTTTAGCCACCACAACTTTATAAAACATGTCTAAAAATGTACAGCATGAAAATATGGCGGGGGGCAAATGAAAACCTCCATCCTTCTAGCCTCTCATCACTTTGTAAAGGCCTTTCATGTCTGGTGTGAGAACAAGCAAAGCCACATGCAACGTCTACACTGACAAGCAGGCCCATTGCTGTTTACTCAGAACACACCTGCCTATTGGGTTCAAATAGATATGTAGTGAGGGGGAAGTACCAATTTACCAAGAGAAAGAGGCTACCATCTACTCTTATGCATCTGCCAAAGTACTCTACTATAAGTGCTGCATCAATTGTGCATTGGAGCAGATTTTTGTATAGCTTTCAGACACATTTTTGTTGATTATCTGGAAAACTTAAGTCCTGCACTTGACAAAAATACGGCCATGTCATGACTTTACCCTTTACTGAAACGTTTTATTATTTCACTTTTAAGATCAGCAGTGCATGCCGAGTTTCCTGAGGCTAAAACAGAGAGTGAGAAAGGCAGCAGCCCCTCTCTTTTGACACCTTAGTTTGAAGCCAAACCACAACAGTCCCTACATTTCCATGCATCATTTGTCTGTCAGTAGTGACTGTGAATGCATGTCAATTTGTTTCTGTCAGCTTGTCAAATGCAGGCAGTGCTGTGCACACAAAGTAAAATGTAGAATGGTCCAAAGCATATGATTTCTCTTGTTAGAAGCAACAGCTTTGCTCTCTAAAATTTGAATATATCAAAAAAGGCTAAGGAACCCAAGGTAAGGTATGCTTTGAGGCTTCTTCTAAGACTACAATGCTCCAGTGTAGATATGGCAATGAAAAACTTAAATCCAAAGCTCCTCCAACAATGCAATATAATATATATATTATCAAATTCCTGAAACAAACTGACCCAAGAGTTGAAGGGAAATACACTTCTTATTTCATTACAGCCAGTTAGTTAGTAACGCATTACAATTCCTGTTGCAAAGATGTCGCAAGTTTTGAGGGAGCGTGCAATTGGCATGCTCACAGCAGGAATGTCCACCAGAGCTGTTGCCCATGAATTGAATGTTCATTTCTCTACCATAAGCCATCTCCAAAGGCGTTTCAGAGAATTTGGCAGTATATCCAACCGGTCTCACAACCGCAGACCACGTGTAACCACACCAGCCCAGGACCTCCACATCCAGCATGTTCACCTCCAAGATCGTCTGAGACCAGCCACTCGGACAGCTGCTGCAACAATCGGTTTGCATAACCAAAGAATTTCTGCACAAACTGTCAGAAACCGTCTCAGGGAAGCTCATCTGCATGCTCGTCGTCCTCATCGGGGTCTCGACCTGACTCCGGTTCGTCGTCGTAACCGACTTGAGTGGGCAAATGCTAACATTCGATGGCGTCTGGCACGTTGGAGAGGTGTTCTCTTCACGGATGAATCCCGGTTTTCACTGTTCAGGGAAGATGGCAGACAGCGTGTGTGGCGTCGTGTGGGTGAGCGGTTTTCTGATGTCAATGTTGTGAATCGAGTGGCCCATGCTGGTGGTGGGGTTATGGTATGGGCAGGCGTATGTTATGGACGACGAACACAGGTGCATTTTATTGATGGCATTGTGAATGCACAGAGTTACCGATCACCTCATGTTGCAGCATGATAATGCACGGCCCCATGTTGCAAGGATCTGTACACAATTCCTGGAGGCTGAAAACATCCCAGTTCTTGCATGGCCAGCATACTCACCGGACATGTCACCCATTGAGCATACAATACAATACAATACAACTTTATTTATAAAGCACTTTAAACCTCCAGACCAAAGTGCTGTACAGGCAAATAGATAAAACAAAGCATACAAAAAAAGTAACACAGCTCAGCTCACACACCATAAAACAAGTACAAGTAAAAACAAAAAACAATTTAAATGCAAAAAAGCAACACTCTGAAAGATGTTGAAACGCCAAATGTTAAAACGCTAAAGAGAAGAGGTGGGTTTTAAGAAGCGATTTAAAAGCAGGCAGTGTGGAGGCCTGTCTGATCTCCAGGGGCAGAGCGTTCTACAGTTTGGGAGCCGCTACAGAGAAGCAACGGTCCCCTCTGAGCTTTGACCTGGTTTTAGGCACATTCAGGAGCAGTTGGTCCGCTGACCTGAGAGGGCGGTTCGGCGTGTAATGCTGTAGCAACTCAGCAAGGTATGGTGGGGTCTTGCCATTTAGGGATTTAAAAGTAAATAAAATAATTTTAAAATGGATCCTAAAATAAATTGGCAGCCAGTGGAGAGAAGCTAAAACAGGGGAAATGTGGTCATACTTCCGTGTGCCAGTTAAGAGCCTTACTGCAGCATTTTGCACCCGCTGCAGTCGTGCGAGGGAGGACCCACTGACCCCCATGTAGAGAGAGTTACAGTAGTCCAGGCGGGTGGTGACAAAGGCATGGATTACTGTTTCAAACTGCTGTCTGGAGAGAAAAGGTTTTACTTTGGCTAGTTGCCTCAGGTGATAAAAGCTTGTTTTTACCACCGACTTAATCTGACTCTCAAGTTTGAGTTCACGGTCCATTTTAATACCAAGGTTCATAACGGTGGGCTTGGTGTACTGATGCAAGGAACCCAGGTCTACAGAAGTGGTGTCAGTGGTGCTACCAAAAACCATTACTTCTGTTTTTCCTTCATTGAGTTTAAGGAAATTGCACGCCATCCAGGCCTTTATGTCATCGAGGCACTTTAGCAGTGGGCTAATTAAGTAACCCTCCTTCTTTGTTAGAGGGACATAAATCTGGCTATCGTCAGCATAGCAGTGGAATGCGATGCCGTGCTTTCTAAAAATGGACCCAAGAGGGAGCAAATAGAGGGAGAATAGCAGGGGGCCTAATACTGAGCCCTGTGGGACCCCATACAGGAGTGGAGCAGAGGATGACTCTGAGTCACCAAGGCTGACAGAGAAAGTTCTGTCCTTCAAATATGACCTGAACCATTCCAGGGCTTTTCCCTCAATGCCCACCCACTTCTCCAAGCGAGAGATCAGGATGTCATGGTCGACTGTATCGAAAGCAGCAGTTAAGTCAATAAGTAGGAGCATCAGTAGATAAAAGGACGTCATTAAAGACTCTTAAAAGCGCTGTTTCAGTGCTGTGCATAGTTTTAAAACCGGATTGGAAAACCTCCAGTATGTTTTTCTCTTCCAGAAAAAACATAATTTGACTGTAGACAATCTTCTCCAGGATCTTTGACATAAAAGGCATTTTGGAAATCGGCCTAAAATTAGCCAGAACTGTGGGATCCAGGCTGGGTTTTTTAATACGAGGTTGCACTACTGCATGCTTCAGGTTTTCAGGACCTTCCCTGAGAGCAGGCTGCTGTTTAAAACTTGTAACTTTAAAGCATGTTTGGGATGCTCTGGATCGGCGTATACGACAGTGTGTTCCAGTTCCTACCAATATCCAGCAACTTCGCACAGCCATTGAAGAGGAGTGGACCAACATTCCACAGGCCACAATCAACAACCTGATCAACTCTATGCGAAGGAGATGTGTTGCACTGCGTGAGGCAAATGGTGGTCACACCAGATACTGACTGGTTTTCGGACCCCCCCAGACCCCCCCAATAAAGCAAAACTGCACGTTTCAGAGTGGCCTTTTATTGTGGCAGCCTAAGGCACACCTGTGCAATAATCATGCTGTCTAATCAACATCTTGATATGCCACACCTGTGAGGTGGGATGGATTATCTCGGCAAAGGAGAAGTGCTCACTATCACAGATTTGTTCAGATTTGTGAACAATATTTGAGAGAAATGGTTATTTTGTGTATATAGAAAACGTTTTAGATCTTTGAGTTCATCTCATGAAAAATGGGAGCAAAAACAAAAGTGTTGCATTTATATTTTTGTTCAGTGTATCTATTACTTTCAGTTATTGTGTCAAGTCTCATGTCATACAAATAATTTATATAAAATGTTATGTTTTCTTTTACTGAATCACGCAGATCAGTCTGAAGCGTGAAGCAAAGTCCGAAGACCAAGTCAGTCCAGCCCGGCGATTCAGTGACTCTCCAGTGTTCACTCATCTCCAAAAACAACGAAAGCGCAGATCAGTGTCCAGGTGAACACAATGTTTCCTGGTTCAGATCTGGATCAGGAGAATCCCATACAAGCATAATTTACACTCACAGTGAGGAACAAAAGGAACGCAGTTGTGTCTTCAGTCTGTCCAAAACTATACACAAGTCCTCTGATACCGGGACGTATTACTGTGCTGTGGCTACATGTGGACAGATCCTGTTTGGAGAAGGAACTACAGTGGAGACAAGTATGTTTTAAAGTGTTGTTTCAATTATATTTA